TAATTGGTGTGGCACCCAAACATCGAGCTTCTTTTTGAATCCAGCTTTGTGTAAATGGTTTAAAACTGTTTTATGGTCGATTTTTAGCTCCTGGGCGATATTACGACTGCTAACATGCCGGTCAACTTCGATCATTTCTCCGATTTTATCGACATTTTCGACGACCGGCCTACCTGTGCGAGGTGCATCTTTAACATCAAAAATTCCTGAATGGAATCTACGAAACCAAAATTGCACATAATTGGCTGTTACAGTATCGGAACCATAAACACCATTCACAATTTTAGCCGCCTGGCTTGCATTTTCGCCTTTGTCAAAGAAAAACTGTAAAATGTACCGAATTTTCTCTTTGTTCACTTCCATTTTTAACACGCTGTAACTCACAACTGAATGCACCAAACAAAAAACAGCAAAAGAATTTTTTTTACTGCGAAATGTACAGTATGTAAATGTACAGTATCGGAAATTGTTTGATCGATACTTACGAGAAATCTATTAGTGCAGCCATCTACCGAAAAAATAATGGATTTCTTTTTCCCCAAACTAATATATGGGAATGAAATAAATTTGTGACCGTTAATCCTTAAATGATAAGAATCGTTCGATGAGATAGCTGTAACTTATTAAAAAAGTGAGCCTTGAGCTAAATGTTTGCACATATAGAACCAAAAAAAATATATCCACCTAATAGTAGCATGTTGCTCAAATCTGTGCAGCATGTTTATATAGAGAATTTTAACACGTTTCCCTAGGTAAAGATTGATAAGCATATACTTCCACAAGTGCAAATGTATTGCTATAAACCGACATATGTTTCAAGACATGAAAAATAATGAAAGTATGTTACACAGTTCTACTACCATAAGTTTTTCTTTTTCTCCCTAGATATTTCTTCTTTCTATTTTTTTTTTCTTTATACATAAACCTAGATCACCATAGATTTGAGCGGGAGAAAACGATATGATGGTGGTGTAGAGGAAAATACGCATATCATAGAAGCAAAACGCTTCCTTACAGTCGTAAGTTGGAATTTGAAGCAAACGTTTCTGTCAACAGATTAGCTTTATCAGCTTAATCAGCAGATTAGCTTTTTGTTGTTAATCAGAAGAACCGGAATCACTGCAGCAGATTGGTTTCCAATCTATTTTTCAAAAGACCAGAAGCTCTTGTTACTTTTTGAACCGACAGAACTTTGGTACGCAGCCGCTGCTAGCTTTTTCGTGGCGAAATACCTGGTTGCACTTACTTGTAGATTGTTTGCGTAGCAGATCAGTATGGTCGTTTGGGTCAAGCCGGTGAACTTTAAACGCTTCCTTTTCGGAGCTGGATGCTTGCTTGCAAGTCTGATTAAACCATTTGTTTTTTGGCTTATTCGAAGTACTTTTGCATAGAATGTACGTTCGCATTCTATGTTTGATAATGTTAGCATCATTTTTGTAGAAGCATTAACATTTTTATTTACATTTTACTTCCAATTAAAATGTCTGGAAATATTAGTGAACACTGCCCAATTTCGGTTATCGTATACGAAAATATCACATTTCGGAACCGACAAGGAAATATGACGAAGGTTTGCATACGATAAGTAGGCCGAAGTAGTACAGTGATTCAAGTTACCGAGAGGTGCAAGACTCTTATCTTTATACTTATGTGGATTGCTAAATAAAAAAAAGTGTAGTGTATTTGGTTGCAATACATCAACGTTTCAAATTTTCACTGTTTCATTTATAAGCTGCGTTAAGCAATTCTGAAGTGCCATAACCTTTACATGGCGTTGCTACGTAGTCATATGAGTTAAATGGCGCAGCCAGTTTTACTGTGGACATGCAATCGCCAGCAACTACGATTTCTTTCGATTCAGAATAACTTTGTAGAATATTGTGTTGAATAGGCTGTCAAAGGCATTAGAGGAAACTATATTTTTCGTGTTTGGGCTTTTATCAACAAACGCGAAATGCAACGTGTGGGTCCGGACAGTGAAATTCACCTATAGCGAGGTGAATTCGGGGTTGTGAGTGCCGTATTATTGTTGACACGGGAACACTACTTCGTTGCGGATATACATCACAAAGTCTCTGTGTGAGATGAAATATTGAAAAATTTGATATCCAGATAAGTGGAAATCTTGTGGATAACTGTGATCACTTGGCTGGGTCTCGTAGAGAGCTAATATATCGGGCCAAAAGTTGCGTGTATGTGCGTATAGCTAATATTTCTAGTCCAGTTTCGGCATACAGTACAGTGTTCGGTATAGTCGGAAGTGCGTGTCCAACCGCTAAGTGTTAAGCCTTTTTCGATTGAGCACTCACCCAACATATTTACGGTGCGAATGGGGGTCGATGGGATCAGCGAATTGCAATGGAGAATATTGTCATTGGGGTTTTGCGGAGAACATAAAACCCTTGAGTGGCTGCATATAAAATTGTTTAGATTTATGTTGTATTTTGATGCTTTTGATGCTTTAATGTTATTGCTGTACTGCTGTTACAACTGCAATTCTATTGTTGTTGGTATTACTGCTGCGATTCCATTATTGTTCTTTGTTGTTGTTGTCTTATCGTTATTGCTGTTGCTGCTTTTCTCGTTACTATTGGTCTATTGCTTTTATTTCAGAAGTATTGCCACTACGGTTGTTGTTGTTGATACGGACATTTACTGTTTTTCAATGATGTTATTGTGGATGCTGATTTGGGTAGATATTGCTGTTATAATGTTGTGTTATCTTTACTACACTTCTTGGTGTTTCTTCTTTTGTTTGTATGTGTTTTTTTATTACACTTCGTTTATTGATTTTTTATATACTTTTGTTACTACGTTCTGCGAATTGTTTTGCCTCTCTTTCGTGCGCAGGTTTTTGGAGCTGTTGCTTTCATGCGTTCTATCGCTCAGTTATCCAGCTAACAGTTTTTCTCTCACGGTAGAATTTCGCTACAGAGGGTTCGTTATTGGAGATTGCAGAGGTGTAATTACATACCTGAAAATCAGCTTATGTTTTCTTTTTTCGGTCGGTTTCGCATCGCGTAAATGATAGCATTTAGAATAAACGACAATCGGTTTTTTGAAATCACGTAAGCACCGCAGTTGTTAAACATACTTTCCCATACTTGTCAAATTACACGAAACCAAACGAGCTTACGTGTGGCATCAGTTTGATAGCTCTAAAATAGTATTGATTATTTAGAGTCGCATTTGTAAGAAAAAGTAGTTGTAAATTGAGAACAAAATAAATTCCAAACGAAATTACTTGGAGCTGTTGGAAACAGCTGACACAAAACCAAAAATTAAAAAAGTAAAAATTAAGAAACAAAAACAAACATCATTGGGCAAAAAAGTTAAGAACAACCAAAAAAGGAAAATATCCGTTCACGGAAGAAGTACTCGCGGAGATAATCAGCAGAAATTTATTGCCAGAAACGCAACTAGGATTGGTTAATATATATATAAACGGAATTAATCAAACTTTGAGTAATTTGTCGTAAACAGGAACTCATTTTTGTTGATATAAAAAAAAGGTAATGAGATGAAGGTTAACGAACTCCTCAAAAATTGCCGCAGTCGCGATAGAAGAAGTGACGTAGTTGCTGATGTAGATAAAAAAGAGAATATTCATAACGTATCAGAAGTAAACCTGATCTATTGTAATTATAAAGAAATTGGCCATCGGTATTAAGATTGTTTAGCGAAAAGGAAAACGTTTGTTATGGGTGCGGAATGCCTAATACTTATACGTCAAATTGTTCAAAACGTAACGACTCAAAAAATTTCGAAAGCACCGAAAGTTGCCCAACATCAACTGAAAGATAAGTACAAGAATAAAAACAAAAACGAATAATTGGTAAACCACCTTTTATACACCGTTCAAAAAATGGAACCTTTTGTCTGTAACCACAATACGTCAATTGATAAAAACTACTACATCACAGCTAAAAAGAAATGATGACGTTTGTTTTGTGGGCGACACAAACGGTAATGTAAGGAAAAGCGAGAATAATCGCAGTTCTTAAAAAAGATCCGCTAAACGAAGGAAGAAGTATTGGAATGATTGGAAGATGATCGATGCTTATTTTCAGTGCTATTGCGATATTGTATAATTTTCTGAACAATAGCACGACTAATTCTAATTGTTTTTGCTGTTTCTCCGTACGATTTGTTCTCACTTTATAATAACATTTCTAACCTCTGGAAAGATTTTTGGCGTTTCTTCATATTTTGTGACATTTTAAGGAAAGGAAATAAAGAAAGAAGGAAATAAAGAAATGTACGAAAACAAGTACAAAAACTAAGTACCGCTAATTAAAGATGTCTCATTTGGAATCTTCTAGTGATATGTTTTTCCTGTATGTAGATTTTTGTGTTCTTATGGGATTGAGGTATATTTATGGTTTTTAACTTCACCTTAAGTCAAAAAAGAATCTTGACTTGTTATTTAACATAAGTTTTGTTTTTTAAGAAATACATTTTTGATCCTTAACACATAAATGCAGTTCCTAATAAAGGAAACCTTAATTTTTCGTAACCTAAATTTTCTGTTTGTAGACAATTGAGATACTGCACTTGACGAAATTTAGTAAATCTTAACTTCTTCCCAAATTATTTTTTCGAATTTTATATTTCGTTTATTCATTTACTTCATTTTCTTCCTCTTTTTTGGCTGTATTTTGTTATACATACTCCGACGGCATCTAACAAGATACGAAAGCAATCGAGTACCATTGACCAAAAAAGCGATAGTACCGTTTTCAAGTTTGGTAACGTATGGTAGCTCAATACAAAGATACGTAACCCGACCACAGATCGCGAATATTACAATTTGTTCTTGTTTGCTTTGTTAATATACTCACATGCTGGATTTCTACTTCTATTTTCTACCAGGGAATTTTTGTTGAATCCTCTTAATTTTTTTTCTGTTTACATAGAAATTGCATGTAATTTTATTTAAAATTTATACAGATGTAATTTAGCTTTTTATTTAATGGTTTATTCAATCAGAATGACTGAGAATAGCGACAGCTATGGGAGGTTTCACATAATGCATATAAAAACGAATGTCAACTTTCTCTTTCGTTAAAGGCAAAAGTTTTTTAAAACGTACGTAATCACCCTCTAGATTTATTATTCACAGGTGCATTTTGTTTTGGTTTGATTTATAACTTCATTTTGCAGCATGTGGTTGAGACGCAGTGATAAGTAGTGCCTATAATTCTATACGCAAAACATAGGATAATTAATCGAGGCTGGATGAAACATAAGCAATAGGCTTGTATAATATACCTAAACAAAAACACATCGCTAAATAATTCACTTTGCCGGTCTGAATGCTAACAACAAAAAGTTTTCGATAATTGAAAATGCTTGAAACTTACAAATCAAAGTTTTTCGAAGTACTCCTTTTGTCAACCTGTGTGAAAATATTGTTAATACCCGCCTAGTAAGCTTAAAAAAATAAATGAATGAAAAATGATGGCCAATTCTTCGTTTTCTCTAATTAAGCCATTCGACAGATTTTGAGGTGCATCGCAACTGGTTGGCTATAGCTCATTCATTACCGCTAAATCGTTGGTACTACGATGACACAAATGAATGGACTTTGGACTATCCGCCGCTATTTGCCTACTTTGAATGGCTGTTGGCCAAAGTAGCACAGTTTGTCGATCCAGAAATGCTGCAGCTTCATAACAGTAATTATGTTTCTAAAAGAACTAAATATTTTCAACGCTTCTCTGTAATAATTATGGATGTTGTGTACGCATGCGGCGCCTGGCGCATGTTAAAAGCTTTCAGGACTTTGCACATACGTTACCAGCCAATAACTGCTGAAGCCTTATTATTGTTGAACGTTGGCCTGCTCTTCATAGATCATATTCACTTCCAATACAATGGGTTCCTGTTTGGTGTTCTTCTGTTAAGCATTAGCTGTTTACTGGAAGATCGGTTCTTATTGGGTTGCACAGTATTCGCAACATTACTCAATTTGAAACATATATACCTGTACATGGCTCCAGCATTTGGTGTTTATTTATTAAAATTTTACTGTTTGGATAGCAAACGTTCTACATTCACGAGTGTACTGAAACTTACAATTGCGGGCTTGGTACCCTTTGCTATATCATTTGGTCCATTCTGGCAACATTTACCACAAATATTAAGCCGTCTGTTCCCGTTTAGACGCGGCCTCACTCACTCCTATTGGGCTCCAAATTTCTGGGCTTTATACAATACCGCAGACAAAGTGGTAGCTAAGGCTTTAAATATGTCGATAGCGGAAAAATATACATCGGGTATAGTGCAAAATTATGAACATTCTGTCCTACCTTCAGTGAGACCGTTAGCAACTTTTATACTCACTATTGCGGCCATGCTTCCAATACTAATAAAACTGCTGTGTTATACAACAAAGAGGTGACTGTTAATGTTTTAATTGAAGGTTATGATCCATATTTTCTCTTTTTTTATAGTGAAAGCAAAATTACATTCTTGCGGTCGGTGGTGTTATGTTCATTGTCGTCGTTTTTATTTGGTTGGCATGTTCATGAGAAGGCTATACTTATGAGCCTAATACCATTTTGGTAAATAATGACTTCTTATAGTTTTCAGAACAATAATTTTGTTTAATTATATTTACAGTTTTTTGTTTTTCGTTCATGCTCAAGATGCCAAGTATGCGTTTCTTTTAAGTGCGGCTGGTTACTATAGTCTCTTTCCTTTACTGTTTGACTCCGATCTTATAGTAATACGTTATTCGTTATATCTGGCGTATATGACTTTCATGGATGCGCAAATGTTGAGGTTCTATAAAACCCCGCCAATAATGAATCTTTGGGAAGATCTTTACATTGACGGTTTTGTTTTGCTACCGTTATATGACCACGTAATTAGTCCTGTAATGAGTTTGAATGAAAAGTTACCCTTTCTATCTTTATTGTTGACATCAGTATACTGTAGCGTTGGTGTTTTATACGTTTTTGTGCGTTATTACTTGTACGCCTTAGATTTAAAGTTTGCATTTAAGCAGAAAGGAAAACGTGAATTGTCAAGGATGGAAACAAAGTCTAGGATGAAAGCTCAAGTGAAAAAAAAAGTTAAGAGCTTGAAGGAGAAGTTGCAATAAAAGCCGCCGTTATATTAGGATTACGCGATGCAAGTTTAACATTTTTTGCTAAACAACCTATCCAAACAATCGAAGCACGTCTAGGATAGCCACGTTCAGGACGTAAAAGCAAGTTGTTGTATAACCAATATAAGTTATCTTTAAAGAAATATGTTTTACCTATAAATTGAAGATATCATAAACCTAGCCAATTCAATTATAAGTAATTTTAGGAACTGTTTTCAATACCGTTCGGCAAAGTAGCAGCGGCATTTAAATTTTGCGGCAAACCGGGCCAACGTTTTAAGGTTTTCGGATAGCCCGCATCCAGCTGCTGCAAGTAGTCGTTATAACGCCAAAACATTGTCTCGCCAAATAAGTAAGTTAAGTTATTTTTGGCTAAATTATACAAAAAAGAAGGTCGAACATAATTTATTTTATTACTTTTTAATTTTGAACTTACGCCACAACATTGCTGCGTTAATACGAGAAATAATAAACGAATTGATACCTATTATGGCTGCTAAAGGTTTTGGACTATTCTCTATGAATTTTTCGTCTCGCCAAATCCACACGTGCTGGCCTAAAGATTAAAAAGAAGCTTAAAGCTAACGGGCTCAACTTAAGAGCAGAAGCCTTGTGTCTTTCTATACCAAAACTCAGGCATTCAGGTTCATTGTGCCATAATCCTTTCAACAATAGAATGTGATCTATTTTATGTCTTATTTATCTTGTTGTTTCATGATTATAGTGAAATGACTATATAGCTTTGGCAAGAATATTTTTTGACAGTCTTATAGATTTAAAAAATTTCATCCACAAGTAATAATGGGTGATGTAATCTTCACTTCTCTGGACTTATTTTATCCTCTTTATGCCAGTTTGAGTGTTTTGTGACATACTCACCCATAAACAGTACTATAGCCTTATCGTAACGTTCATAGCAAGCATCGACATGTGTGATGGTCTTTGGAAATTTGAAGAATAATTTTTCAATTGGAATTGGATAACCGGGCAATATTGTATAACTTGGTGTCAATCTCCAAGCAAAATGCTCTTTGAATACATGTACGGACTCATTAAAATAACAAACGGCATCAAAGTCACCCAGGCATATGTCCGGTATTTCGCCATTGTTACGTGCCTTCGCAGAAGAAGCACTAAAACTCGTTGTGCGATTGTGATGATTCTAGAGTTGATATAAAAAATTAATGTCCAAATTAAATCTGTATTGAATTTACCTTATCGTGCTCTTTATTTTCCATCTGATCCCAATTACTACTGATGTTGTCAATTTGTTCGGTAGTAGCAAAATCGCTTTGATTAACAGGTTCATTCAATTGATCTTCTTGCTCGTTTTTATCCTCTTCTTCAACGTCATCATCTAGTTTTCTACTCACTAAAATTAAAAATACAGCTTCAAATATACTTTTTCCTTCATATTGCAAATAAGAGTTCAAATTACAGTATGCATTGTACATAGCTAAAGTATCATCGTAATCCAGCACGTTGTAACCAGGCCCTTTGTAATAGGGGAACATTATTGAACTTTGAGAGGGTGAATGAGCCAAACCTAGACTATGACCAAGCTCGTGTAAAGCTACAGAATAGAAATCGACACCTATACTTAAATCCGTTGAGTTTTCTTGCCAGTTTTCATCTTCATCAAAATGAACATCGCCACCCCAAGACTCCATTTCATAAGGGTAGAAAGCATGGGCTAGTATATTGCCAGCACCATCAAATGGAAAGCTGCAAAAATTTGAAAAAAAATTGTGAAATATAAAGAGAAAATATTTAATTATACAGTGATACGTACTGATCGCCGTGATAGCGAGTTCCAAAACCGATTATGATATCGGCTGAAGTATCATTAATGTGTTCAAATTTTAAGCCGCTATACTGCGACCATGTAAATAAAGCGCGAGCAATATCACTTTCAACTTGAGCGGGAGGAACTTTCAACGACCAATTACCAATACTTGAATAATACAAAAAATATACAGCAGACAGCAAAATCTATTGTAAAGTTATATTCGCCCTAAGACGAAACTTTTATACGGTTGTTGGAAATGTGCACATTAAGTTTTAATTCAGTATCCCTTTTAGGTCGCAACTTCAAGTTTGTTACCTACTGCATTGAAGTTTTGAAACCTTCTGGTATATATCTGCTATAAAATGTGGACTGATATCTGACTGTGAACGACAGTTTATTATTTACTTTTGAAATTTGATCTTGAACTAAGAATAGAATGTCGCTAGGCGGAATAACAAGATTAGGTCGGCTTGCAGTAAAAGGCTAATTAAGAATAAACATATGCTTAATTGGATCTCTGAGTAAGAAACTCTTTGTTGGCACACTGAGAGTAAAGCTGTATTCAGATTGTGGTAATTCTGACTACTAAATGCATGAAATGAGCAATATTTGTACGAAAATTTGAACATATAAGTGAACGGATGGTGGCTGACTTCACCTTGAATGTTTACATATTTCAAATTCATTGCTATTGCTACATCTGATGAAGTTCACAAGTTATTTTTTCATATTTTGATTATTCAGGTGGGCTAAATTCCTTTATTCCATCACTGTTTACTATAAAGTTTAAAAAATATATATATGCATTCAATTCCAGCTTCTTATGGAAGTGCTTGTTTTGTTAGAGGAATGAAGTAAAATTAAAGGTATGATGATTAAAATGAAGTAAAATTAAAGAGAATCAAGAAACAGATTAAGTTTGTCTTGCACCAGATCTATTGGACTTGTCACATAACACGCGCGCACCTATTTTTTAGTTAAAATCATCTCAAATCCCTTTACTTATATTAAATAATAAAATATTTGTATAAAAATGTACATAAATATAATGTTTTTACATTCTACTTTATATTTATGTGCATATCCGCCTGAGCGGGCGAGTAGACAGGGAGTCTTCGACTAACAACTGAATGCGAATGGGTTCAGATCTCAAGTGCAGTACAGTTTTCCACAAAGCCGATGGGCTTAGATGCTAGTGTTTTAAGACTTAGGATTTATTCTCTGGCAAAATTAATAATAATATATTTATAATGTATATGTCGATTAAAATGTACGAACTATAAATAATTTTAATGGAAAAAGTTAAACTAAAAATGGAATGTAATAAATTTGAAACATTTTTAAAGCAAACAACTGGGTCGTATTTTATTCTGTTGTAATTTGATTAAAATCTTATTTAGATGGATGGATAAACAAGAGAAACTAAATTGTTTTCTAGTACGTTCATGTTTTGTCTATGTTATATTGCAAAGGTAATAAGAAAAGTGGACAAATTTTCAAATACATTGGAACCACCGACCATTTTCTTATGTCAATCATGGGCATAATTAGCTGATAAGCTTATGCTTTTGTACATAACTGATTATACTGATAGATATTGTTAAAGATTTTTGAAGGCTGTATAGTTTTTTATATACTAGAGACGAATTTTGAATTTTACATAAGAGTTTGTTACTAGAGTCGCCTTTTGCGGCTGATCTGAATGTGCAACGCAGACGATATGTGGGATATGTTTAATTTAACTTTTCCGTCTTAAAGTCATCTATTGGTGAAAGTATAATAAAGTTTAGTGTAAATTATTTATATTTACAAATAACGTATACGCCGTTTGGTCCAAGTTCCTGCTCCGAATACAAACCGCTTGTTCCTGATGACGGCATTACTTTGTCTTAAATGATACGATTGGCCTTCAATATCGCGAACACCACAACGCGGCTTCTTGAACAACTAAGTAATTAAAATAATGGATAACTTCAGTTGCAGCTTTATCGTAAAAATTACTTTTCATTTGTGAACACATGCAGATAGTCACATGTTCATTATTCATATCATTTCATAACCAAGTCAAATACTTACATCTAACGTCATTTGGTCTAATTTACCAGTTTGGTTTAATGCTCCAAATATTTGTACTTTTTTTATAGCTTCCACGATAGCTGTTTCATGGTATAAGGCTTCCGAATCGTTGGGATTTTGATCTAAGTAACCGAAACGTCTCATAAAACGTAGCTGAAACCAAATTGTGGTAGATTGTTAGCTTTATTACAATTTTGAATCAATGTCTTCTTACTTACCACTTCAGGTGGTGGTACGTCTGTGCCATGCCTTAAAGGCGCCGGGAAACAAGTTCCTAGGCAAAATAGTGTATATCCACAAATTGCAGTAAACATATTCCAAAAGCGTTGTAATGAGTGATTCACATCTGCACGATCTCATTTGCGAAATTCGACTGAAGAAAAATTGTTGCTCGTTCTTTTTAATGTTATGAAGAAATTCTTATCAGTTACTTAAACATAAACCCGAGTGTGTCTTACGCTAAGTCTGCCTTACAATTTTTGTTACGCAGGATGTAAGAAATGATAAGTCAGTTATTTACTATTTAAATTATCAGAAATTTGAAGAGCGATGAGGTTTTTAAGTGAAAAAACTCATGAAAATTTGCATCTGCGAGTTATGTATGGATTAGTGACAAGCGGATCATTATTGATGCCTGAATTTCCTTACAATTAAATTAAATGGGTTCCGAAAGCGAATGTTCATTAATTGACTTTGACAAACGATTATTATCAAGTACGACAATTTGAAAATATTACTTACTTTTACCTTAATTTATGAAAATTAAAAAAAAGAAATTGCTTTCAGGTCTAGAAGATTCAAATCGCCTTTTAACTTAAGAGCAAACAGTTGTTTGGAAAATCTACAGTCGCGTCGATCTAAATCAATTTGCGTAAGTTTTTTAATTCACCTTGTTCATATTACCTGGAAAATATAGAAAGTAGTATCTAACAGTTAATGAACTAACGCTTGTTTCGAACTTTCAATAGTTTTTACAAGTTGACGCAAATAAAAAACAAATGGAAAACAGCGGAAAGTTTCATATCAAAGACTGTGTTCATTTTGCTGACCGAAACATGGCCCCGATTTTACAATGTTAAGTAACGACTAAACGACTTTGCTTGTCAAGAGATGAGCAATCTGCTCTAGTATCTGTTAGATGGAGGCCGATCAGTAAATCGCTGTGCACAATAACTGCGTGTCGTTTTATGCTTCAGGCTTTGAAATTATTATTGGCATTTTTACTAAAATATAAAAAAAATGCTAATATATATACGAACTATTTATACTAAAGTATACTGATACTTATCTCTATACCGAAAAAACTTCTTTTTCGTGCGATTAACTGTAGGTTGCTTCAAAAAATCACTCTTCAAAGGAAGCTTTCACTTCGCTTGCCTCCGCAAGCAAGCTACGAGTTCAACTGATTTTGTTTATTGTATCGTGGATGAAGAAACAAAGAAAAAAATCATTAAATTTAGCGCTTAATTTAATGATAAATTGAATTTTTCGTGAATGCGTTCATAACAGTATTTGAGTTAATTAAGCAAATTGCTTAAATGCTGTTGAGAGAAGGGTGTGGACATAACAAATGAATTATTGTTTCGGACAGAGGAGTAGCTGCCGCGAAAAGTATCGTTTTTTCAGATCGTAGCAGACATTAATCGTATAGTTATCAGCAAGATGATGGGTCATACATTGTATGAATGAATGAACGAATGAGTAAATGTGTGAATGAATGAATGCATGAGTGAATGAATGTATGAATAAATGAATATATGAATGAATGAATAAATTAATGAATGAATGCATGAATGCATGGATGCATGAATAATTGCATGAACAAATGAACTAACATGGGAATTAATGAATGTTTACGAATCTTTGCAGTTTTTAATTCTTTATAAACTTGATTTTCTGTCCGATTTAATATAGGCGTTTTGAAATGTTCAGAGAACATTCCATTAATATTTCTGGTTACAATTTTTCACCGCTCAACGTTGTTTATCTTGCCCTATCACACAGTAGGTGGCTAGATAAGTAACGAGCATTTTAAATCACGAGCAGGATTAAATTAGTTGTCAGAAATGTAAATAAATATATTCAAATCGTTTCCGTTCCGGTTGGATACATACTGCAAGATAGACGTGTTCAATTTCAAGAGTTGTGGTAATAACTTTGTGACTCACTCCATATGTAGAAATACAATTAATAATAAGGAACAAAAGCCCAAAACGGGCTGGTGCAGAGAAAGTTTCAAACAAAAGTAACGCTACGTGGTAATAATATTTGGTACATTGTTTCTGGAACTGCAGAACGAATTGCGGCAGATAGAGAAAATTTGGAAAATGTGAAGAAGATGAATACTAAAAGAAGTAAAATCCATAGGAACAGAAGCAATGCTTCTATTTCGCTAACTCTAGAGGACGTGTACGAACAAAAATCACATAAGTCAATTCGCTTGTTGCAATAACAGTTTTTTCAATATGCTAAGGATCTACAGGATAATATTGCATGACATGTGTTGAAATTATAGCAAATGGGTAAACAATTAGCTCGAATGGGTGAATAAGCATATGACCATATGCTGCTTTTTAATGACTTTGTCAGATGAGTGTTTCTTTGCTTCCTGAGAAATAACAGGCAAAGGTGGAAGAAAAGTCCATAATTCACCATCAGGTAGGGATGAATGAAAACTGAGTATACTACTGCAAAACATCGAAGCCTTTTCAGCCAAACAACATAGACAGGAAGAGAGATGCCTAGGATTATTAATCTGTGGTGAACAAAACCAACGTACTGAAAAAGATACGCGAACGGTAATAGAAGCTAAGCAGCCTGTTATTCATAATAAAACTTGAAGTGTTCAATTTTGGCGCTATTAACACATATATGTTGACCATAACTGCTAAAAGTCTTACAAAAGAAAATAAGCTTTATGAACTGAGGTTTACCAGAAGATTTGATGTACCAATGCTTCGTGTATTTAGGTCAGAATGTTGTATTTATATATCTAATAAGAATAGATGGCAACTTGACACGAAGCATAGGAGGGTTATGTGGTGGATACGAAGAAGGAGGAGGTCGCCGTATTTTGGTATCTGAAAGAAGGGGATGGCGCTTTCAAAAATTGTGTTGACTGGAGAAGAACGTGAGTCTTAAATTGCTATAAATTAATGCTAATTGTGAGATAATGAGAATTCTTGAACAAAATTTTAAAGAAGATTTTTTCAGACGAGTTTGAAGAGAGTAACGCGAAAGAAAAGTCTATAGCATCAGTGCGTAAATATAGTGTTAGTTCCTGAAATAAAGAACTAAGCGCGATTTTGTATAGCGCTTTTTTTGCAGACAACAAAGGACCTAAAAACTATGAAAAACTTATTTCAAGTTTAATACACAGCAGAAGCAAACTGTGGATGAAGTCTATATCTGTTTTGTTAAAAATATGTAATGAAATATAAATGGATATAAAACTGCTACAACAGCCTAATGGGTTTCCAAGATTAACACCTTTTAGTGAAAACACAATGCTTGCGTTAGGCATAGCTCACGACCTATCAAAATAAAATTAATTTTATTGCGTCGACAACGGTGAAAATTGAAAATCATACATTGAATGCTTACTTATTTATTAATATACAAATTTGCTCCTTGACGACCCAATATGTATTTAAATGTAAATGAATGTACATATAGTTTGTGTTGCGGAGCGCCTGAACGCAAATTTTTGCAAACTTTTAAAATTCCTTTGTGCGTCGTTTTTTACGGTCGAAACAATGATGTGCTTATAAAAACAAGCACATCATGATTTCAAAGTAGTCAGTTACGTTTTAATTTAAGAACTACACTAAAGCGTATTGCTATGTATTTGTATATGGAAAAAATTTTTTTAAGCTTAATTAATTATGTGTTGTTTCAAAAACAACATTTTTCGAAGAAAGTTTTGCGTTATTAATTTTGCATTTCATTAACGTTTATGCATACGTTAGCCATTTGGTTTTAGAAACGCTAAAATGCTATGTGTTTAACTGATCTTGGCCAAGGGTTCTGCCAAACAGCAGTAAAACTATGCATAATCAGCTAGCTTCCTGAAAGCTGACATTAGTTCACAGCCAAGCAGATAATTAACGAACATTTGTGGTCGCAATCGCGTAAGACTTTCGTGTCAGTCTCGTTGCCATGTTTGATATGGAAATGAAAAAGCAGACAAAAAAAAAAAAAGTTTGTTTAATTGTGGCTGCTAAAATCCGAAAAATAACAGGCTGGTATTCACGTATATGGAAGTCAGTATATATTTTCCTTTATCGCTTGGTTTCGCAACGCGTATGCGATAGCAGTCAGCATTGATTGATGATTATCGCTTTTTTGGAATCATGTAGGCACAGCGGGTATTAAATACATTTTCCCATCTTTAGCATATTATTGTTAATTGAGAACAAAATGAATTGCAAAGGAAATTGTTTACTTGCAAACAGCTGAGTCAAAACAATAATTCAAAACACAATTTACAGCGAATCTGAGGTTGTTGATTTGCTGAAAAACGGAAGCAGAAAGACAAAACAATTTACTAGCGAAAAAACTTTGAGTAAGCCGCTAAGCGAAAATTACAAAATAAGGGATATTTTTTTTCATTTAAGATTTTAAAAGAATATTTTTGAGTGGGTAAATAAGCCGTATTCTTTATTGGTCTAATTAATTTTATCTCACCCAAAAAAAGCAAAAATCCGAAACAGTAGTAACACATTGTTAGGTGTTAATAAATTATCGTTTTTTGTTAATTAATATATAAGTTATAGGCAAAATGCTTCGACAAATTACTTTATACTATGCTATAGAAGAGGGTTGAACTTTGCGACAGAGGTATGTTATGAGACGTAACAATACCCTTATCCTTTCTAAAATGTGAAAGCTTTTACGATATATTTGTAATAAATATATGATTATTTATATTGTTGCCAACAGATATCTTCAAAAGTTTCGAGTTTCTAAAGCGAACTTCAAATTCGTGTTGCAAACAATTGGACCAAGCAATGTTTTATAGACGACATACATAACTTTTAGTCATGACTTTGGCACTGTTGAGTTCTGGAGGTTACCAATGGCTAATTGGTAATGACTACTCTGTAAACGTAGCGTACACTACGTTGTTGGTTATTGCACAGGAAATTGTAGAAGCAATAGAAACTAAAATTTTGGCTGACATAGACCAGTTGGAGTAATAAAGTCGACGTTCGTTACTTCTATCTCATTGCTTTCACTCCTCTTCACTTTTCCTATCTGTTTCACAGGCCTGCCGATCTCACACGTCTGCCAACTATTTTTCTTGTCATCATTTTTCGGGATTGAAACTATCAATCCGATATTCTACTGGGTTGCACTAGAAAAATAAATAGAACAAACAAAATCGAATAGTACAAAATGTAACCAGCCGTTGAGAAATTGTCACGATTGACTTAATATAATCAACACTTTTGACAAAGGTTTGGCCTTGTTACAGTTACAATTTATCGACTATCCTCGATAAATTCGAAGTGTGGAATGTCATTAATCTTTAACGGAGTTTTTGCAAGTTTTCGCAGCGCGGTTGTTAAGGGTATGTTATCAGATCGGACTTGTTCTATTGTCAGACTATTTACCATCATTGTTATCATTTCGTCCACCTGAAGAAAATTATAGTTATTCCCATAGTCCTGGTTATAAATTCCTAAGTAGAGTATTGGGGGGCAGAGGATTCCGTCGATATAGATATGATATCAGTCTGATATTGTTAATTTGAGTATTTGTAGAGAGAAAAGTCGCTTGCGTTCTTTTTCCACGAGCATTAACTGAAGGATGCAAGGCCAAATTTTGTAGGCAGATATTTTCTTGGATACATAAGTTGTAACGGGGTTTATATTTATAGCTGGGGTTTCGCTCAGGGCTGCCCAGCGGTCCGTTCCAAGAAATTTTGTTCGTTGAAATAACGGAACCTTCGTATTTTGGTGCTTGATGAAATATATATTTATGAAACCAAAGCAGCATACGAGATGGCGACGTAACGTTATTTGCGATGTATCTTCGTGGCGAAAGAAAAAAACCAACATGCCTTGAGTGGTCAGCCTTACTTTCTCTTTATTGAGGGAAATATAACTCGCGTGTGAAGTGTACGATCGTAGCTGATCTTTAATGCTTGCATAAATATGTTTAACCTTTTCTCTATACATATGCTTTATTAATCC